GGGAAGGGGAGGAGGAACTCCTGGAAAGGGGTACTCCCTGAAATAATACCTCGAGACCTCAGGGGGTAGCCTCGTGTGGAATTTCGCGGGTGGGGGGGCCTGTTGGAATGATGCCTCCCGTTCCCACTCCGCCCGGGATTCCCTTCGAGACCCCACCTCCTCCCATCATTACCGATCTTCCCTTTTGCCTCAGCATTTGAAGGGCTTCTAGCTGGGGCCCCCGAGGTTCTAAGGAGGCCTTGCGGGGGGGGTGGGGGTTGGGGCAAGAGGGCCCCAGGAGGGCTTGGACGAAAGTGGCATCGGTGTCAAAATTGTCAGGGCCCCGGGCTGGCGCCCGGGGGGGCTCCCAAAGGACCCTCCGAGGTGCCAAGGCGGCCCAACAAAGTGGGCATCTATGCCCAAGCCTTCTCGGGCCTGGCTTCCTCCTCCTCCTCCTCCTCCTTCGTCTCCTGCTCCTCCTCCCCTTTTCCTCCCCCCCTATACCTCAACCTCCCATCATTATTCCACCCGCCCTTCCCATCCCCCATCGCCGTCACCCCCGCCGCCATGCCTCTCATCATTTCTCATCCGTCGCATCCTCATTCTCCGCATCGCCTACCTCATCCAGGACACGTCGCTCTTCTCATCCTATTCATCGGTACACGCATACACACTTTAAGGAGGTCAAGAGCGTTCATATGTCGCACACTCCGTTTCATCTTGCTCGTCCACTTATTGAGGGGGGGGGGTCTCGATGAGGGGGCTCCGTGGATAGGGGGGCAGGAGAGATGTCCATTCACAGGGGGTAGGGATGCATCCCCCCGGCGCTAGTGGCTTGGCATTGCTCGGACGTGTGCATTTTTTCTTCGGCGAGGACCATCGAGGAGCATCCTTGATCATTTCGCGAAAAAAACACGCACGAAACCGGGAGAAAACACAGGAAATGGACGTCCGAGCGATGGCCGGGTGTGCGAGGGGGGAAGCGGTAAGGGTCTTCTTGGGCGGATACTTCAGGCAATTAACAATTGGACCCCCCCCAACCAACCCGCGGGTGGGATGCTAGTTGAGCGGCACCTCATCGCCAACAACGGCGACACACTAGCGACCAGCCTGTGGGCGGGGCCGTGTAGCCAACGGCGAGCTGGCCCGTGGGGGGCCCGATGGGCAGGATCCTTTTTGGGCGGCATCCCGCCAACAGCTGCCGGCTGTACGCGAGCATCCCGTGGGCGGGATCCTATGGCTCGCCATGGAGCTAGCGGGTGTTGAGGGACATGGGTCTTGAGGTTGTTCAACGTTGTTGGCTTGCTGGCGACTTCCACGGGCCCCAGGACTTTCAGAGAACGACTCGGGACGAAAGGTCGTTCCTGGAGGCAGGCCTCAGCTTCCAGGGCCCGTTTCTCTCACGACCCGACTGCTTCATATTCGGTGGGTGGGACATTGGGGACGGGATGCTTTGAACGGGACCTCATGGCCAGCAACGGCCAGACCCCCATGACCGCCCCATAAAGTCTTCCCAGCGCGAGAAACAGCCTGTAGTGCAAGCACTGCCTGGATTTGCCAGAGCTATGCCACTCCAAAGTCGAAATCACCGTCACCGTACGGCCTTTGATTATCATTTCGGTTGCCGATCTTGCGTTCGTGCCGAGAGTCAGTTGTTTGGAAATTCACCACGGTTCCAATACTCGTGGCCGTTCTGATTGGTGGATGTTTCCTTGCGTACTCTCCAGGACGGCGCCGTGGGCTTCGCGGCACTCAAGGAGTGTCCTCGTCTTGTTGAGGGAGGATGAGCACGAAGCGAGCTTCACACTCAGGCAGAGGAGAGAGGTCTGCGGCAGCGGCATCGTAGCATGGTAATGGTGTGGGCTTGAGCTATGGTTGTTCAAAAATGTTTGTAGGATGGATATGTCGAGGCACAGGAGGCAGCATTTCTCGCGAGCCCGACAGTGTAAGAGAAGTTGCACGTTGACAATTTGATATGCACGGGGTATTTTGGATTAGCACTTGGACGAGCTTTGCGCCCCATTCGATCAGACAACTATTTCAGCACATTCGGTATGAACTCGATGCTTGTCAGTTCTCTGTCAACGGGAGAAAAAAAAGCACGAGATAAAGTGCATCCTGGTATATCGGAGCATGACGTGAACGTTGAGACGGAATGTAATGCAGCAGTAGCATACGGGTCTTACATTGTGCAAGTGTTGTTACATTACGGGTTGTTAGTTGCGCAACGTTTCCGTTCATGAGGTCGTGTAGTGCGAAGTGTTTACGGTCCGTACCGCCGACCTTGAAGGGGGACGACGACCACGACGACGACGACGATGACGACGAGAAAGTTGACGCTCTGTAAACGAAAGCTCCGCCCAGGGAGGGGTGCTCCCGCCCGGGAGAGGGTCACTATTCCTTGACCGTTCCCCCCCACCTTCCTTGGGACAACCCCCCCAACCCCCGCAGGACTCCCCCGCCACCTCCCCAGGGACCACCACCCCCCCAGCGGAGGAGGGATCAAAGGGAGAGGGGCTTCCCTTCGACTCGATTACGACGCTGCTCGACTTCCTCTTGGCTCAAACGCTTGAGAAGGAGGGCCCAGGGGGAGGAAGGTGTGGCGATGACGACGTCGACTCGAACTGAAAAGCCTTTCACACACGCCGACAGGGTCGGCTGATTAGTTTTGTGCACTGCAGGCAGCGCATCGGAACTTGATACTGTTGCAGAGGGAAGTAGAAAGAGAGAGAGAGAGGGAGCAGAACGTGTGCATCCATGTGCTTCTGCACACGAAGTGCGTATACAGGCGCACCTATGTGGTCTACGCATGCAAAAGATGGGGCTGCGGAAGCTTCAGGAGGCAAGCCCCACAAGGGAATGCGTCTCCGTGTCCCGTGTCGGTGTCGTCTACGTGTCGGTTGTTCCCAACTATCTTGTGGTGTTGGGCCCTCGCTTTGAAGAGACAGCGCCCCGCGTCTCCTCCTCTCCTCTTCTCATCCCCCTCCTCCCCTCTCCCATCCTTGCCTCTGCCCTCCCATGTCAACTATTTCGGCACGCCCCTCACGAGGATCGTGGCCCCATAGGGAGCTCTACCGCAGGCCCCAATGACTGTGCTCCCACGACACCACCGCCACACCGCTGACACGTTTCGTGGCCTCATAGAAAGCTCCACCGAGGGCCCCAGCGGCTGCGCTCGCATGGCACCACCGCCCGTTTCGGCACACCCCTCATACGTTTCGTGGCCCCGTAGGGAGCTCCAGCGAGCGCCACAGTGGTTGCGCTCGCATGGCGCCACCGCGCCCGTTTCGGCACACCCAGTACACGCTCCGTGGCCCCATAGAGAGCTCCACCGAGGGCCCCAGTGGCTGCGCTCACATGGCACCACCGTGCCCGTTTCGGCACACCTCTCACACGTTTCGTGGCCCGGTAAGGGGCTCCACCGAGAGCCACAGTGGTTGCGCTCGCACGTCACCACTGCGCCCGTTTCGGCACACTCCTTACACGTTTCGTGGCACCAAAGGGAGCTCACACGTTTCGTGGCACCAAGTTTGGAAAAGGTGGTATAGTTTCTGATGCTGTGTTCCTCTTGAAGCGGGCGGGCGTGATGGTGTCCCGATGGTGTCTGACGTGGTGTGAGATGGTGCCCAGTCTGAGGTGTAATGGTGCTCCGACAGTGTTTCGAATGATCCCCTACCCGACAGGTTAACGCTGTCAGGTTTTAAGAGAAGTGGTCCCGATCCGCCTCGCGCACCCTGTGTACCGCGGCACCGCGGCCGCCAAGCTCCAAGGGGCCCAGTGCTCCTTGAGGATCCCGGCCCGCGTTCTCGGGTCTGGACCGCTCGAAGCAAAGTAAGGTGGAATGGTGTTTCGAATTCCGATAGCCACACGCCATAACCCAACGAAACATAAGTTGCACATCAGTTCGGATTGCCTCACAGGTGTGTCGATGATCTGGGGTGCCCTTGCAGCGGCGCAGTGAACGATCGACACACACTATGACGGGTGCCTATTCCTGGGCGATCTTGAAGAAGCAGCACGCCGAGTTTGACAGAAGGAGGAGGAGGGGGAGGAGGAGGAGGAGGAATAGGAGGAGGAGGAATAGGAGGAGGAGGAGAATGTCGCCTTTCGGCGAGTTGCTTGCGCACCGTTCGGCGAGCCCGCGCAGCCTTCGGGCGAGCCCTCGCCGATCACGCCGAAAGGCGGGCCTTTCGCGCAGTGGCGGCGTGGGGAGCAGAAAGAACGGAGGAGCGGGTCCTCCTCCTCCTCCTCCTCCTCCTCCTCCTCCTCCTCCTCCTCCTCCTCCTCCTCCTCCTCCTCCTCCTCCTCCTCCCTCCTCCTCCTCCTCCTCCTCCTCCTCCCTCCTCCTCCTCCTCCTCCTCCTCCTCCTCCTCCTCCCTCCTCCTCCTGCTCCCCCTCCTCCTCCTCTTCCACTTCCTCCAGCGGGCACAGAACGCTTTCCCCGCGGAAGTGGTCGCGAATTGGGTGGAGAAAGCGGCAAGGGCCGCCAAAGGCGTAATTGCGGAGGCGGTACCATGCAAACAAGGGTGATGGCGTCCGAAATCTACGCATGAAGAGGCGACCGCAGGGGTCGCGATTGGTTATGGATTGGGAGAGGACTGCGACGAGGACACGGGCAACACCTCGGGAATGCAATGGGGCAGATGACGCACCGAAACAGGCCAGGCGCGAAAACATCACGCTTGAGGCCAGCGGAGCCGTACAGAAGCTCCAGGGCTGTCCACGTAGAGCAGGGGAAGTTGAAGGGCGAACGGCACTGGCGGCACGACTAAATTTGTAAGCGCGCGGCGCCCCCCATTGGACATGGAGACGCGGGGCACTCTGCAGGGGCCTGTCAGGCGGGCACGCGCGCGCGCAGCTGGGCGTGGCCCGGCAGGATCGTCCGAGGGGCAGGCGGGTCCGGCGGTTCAGATCAGGCGTTGGCCCATGTTGTGGGGTTCTAGGCTTGCCAGATGGGGTCGGAGTAGAGGGAGTTGGAGGATCGTGCCGCATCAACGATGCGGCTCGATCTGCAGCCCGGTTTTCTCCCAGCCGACGGCGCCGATGCGACGTGAAGACGCATGTGTGCATACATGCTCGTGAGGTTCGAGGGTATGCATTGCCTCGGCGTTGGTAACACGAGGCTGGCCTCGCGGATTGAGGGGCCAAGTTCGTGTGCAGGATTGGGCGCGCTGCGCCTTCTGTGGGGTCCCTGGCAGAGCAGGCTCCGAGCGCGTCGGAGGAGCATTGACGGGGGCGACACAGTGTATCAGGAAGGAAAAAAACACACAGACACAATTATCCGCCGATTCCTCAGAAAACATAGGGAAATATGAGAAGTGGGGGGGAAGACAAAAACCCAGATGATATAGGAAAATATGGGGAATCCGATTATTTGTGTCTATTTATTTGTGTGTCCCAGGGCCCCTTCAGTGTAGAGGTGGCCGAGATTTGGGGGGGACCTCCAAGCCCCCTCCGGCAGGTCTCGGTGCTGTGTGCCACGATCAAGTCCGCGGAGGCATATCAGGAGCGCAGTGCGACGTGCAAGAATTTGCGGTCATGCTCCCTCACGCCTGTGCCGACGCGGGGCGACGAGTGCAGCAACACGCGTCGCCCCGTGTCAGCAAAGAGGCGATGGAAAGCAGAGCAGCGAGCGCGCACCGAACGAAGGGGGCCGCGACGCAGTCGCCTGGAGAGCGACGTTTCGCTCGGAGGGTCATCGGCAGCCCGTCGTCCAGAAGGGACGGTCGGAGCGGCAATGTTTGCCACTGCGCGAGCCGATTCCCATCGGGCTTTCGTGAAGGGGCACAAGGTGCCAAGGGCTGGTAAGTTCACATCCCTGATGCCAGGATGCACGGGGTGCAGTATTGAGTGGCAGATCGCCTCCAATCCGTCATTGCTGTGGACCGTGGGCGTCGTCGGAGAGATGCGCGCCGATCTCAATCGGCAAGGTGCGCTTGACGGGATACCACGGTCGCACCACCCTCGACCAAAAGGCCGATGCCCGGGAGGAGTGACCAACGACTCCCAGTCGCCCCCGCCGCAAGCGTGGCCAGGGCGCCGGCAGCGAGTGGGACCGCAGGCGGCGGCGCGGAGGTAGCGGGCGGGGCCGAGGCGCTGCACGAGGGGGGCGTACGCAGCGCCCGAGCCACCGCCAGCGGTGCAACGGCCCAACTGTGGCCTGGGGCCCTGGCCGGCTTGCACACGTGCGCGCCGTGGCCACGGCACCCGCCGCTGCAAGAGCTGGGTCCGCCCCCGGCTCGGGGGGAAGTCCGGGGGCATGTCGCCCCAGAGGCTGCCGCGGTGGTCGCCGCCTCGGCAAGCGGAAGGGTCGCCCGCGGCAGCCGAGGAGCCGCCCGCAGCGGAGCGGCAGACGGCGTACCCCTCTAGGGGTGTTCGCGGGATTATCGCCGTGGGCGATCCCCGTGGCGAGACAGACGCCGACCTGACTACGGTTGGGAATGTTTGGCTGGCGTGTCGCGCTGGCAATTCTGGCTCACCACGCTTCGGCACGACACGCTAGCTACGTCCCCGTCCCCAAGCGTCAACGTCCCGAGCTTTTCCCAGCCTCCCGCCCCGCGGAGCGGAGCGACACGCCATGAGCTCGCAGGGCAGGCAGCCGCTGGCAGGGCAGGTCCGAGGCCGAGAAAGGGGCGACAGGGCGTTCTGAGCTGAGTTCTCGAGTTTGGGCAGACTCGAGGCGGACCCATGTTAAGGCCAGGGCAGAAACACGGGCACCGTGGGGCCCAAGGCGGCCGTTTGAAAGCGCATGTGTTAACCCAAAAGATTCGCAGTAATGCGCGGAACGCAACACATAATTGAATCCTGCCGAACAACCCCGAACAGCATGTCATGTGCACAACATGGCACACCAAGCGGTGTTTTACCTAGCATTGCACGGCACAGCCCAGACGAGTGACGAGTTGGGACCTAAAGACTTTCACAGCATGAAGCACGCGGCACGACACACAGCACGTGTGGATCGGAGTCACGACATGGACGGGGCCCTCGACACAGCACGACGCGGCACACGGCGCGGCCCCACAGAAGTCGCGCCACTGGTCGCGCCGCACGTTGGGCCATCGGATGCGCCATTGGTTGCACCATCGGTTGCGATGTAGCCCCTGATCGAAAGTGCGACGGAGCGGACCGGACCACGACTCCGTGCTGCGGTGTGCTGCGTGCCGTGCGCAGCCTGCGGCGTTGCAAACCGAATGGGAGCGCAGTGCGCGGAGGCCAGGGCTGCTGGCGACCCCCCCGAGCGCGGCGATGTCCGCCCTCGCGGCACGGCCGCCTCGGACTCTACGCGGCGCCCAGCTCGAGGCGCCCGACGGCCGTGGCAGAGGAGGGCGGCCGAGCCCAAAGTGGCCCAGCATCCCGAGCGGCACGGGGGCCCGCGCCAGAGGATGCCCGCGGTCGCGGTTCGGTTCGGTGGTCCTCGAAGGCGCGGGTCAAGCTCGCAGCTGCCGCGCGGGGGGGCGCTTCCGAGGGACACGACAGCCGACGTTAGCCCACTCTGGAAGGGCCGCAAGAAGGGCCACA